GTAGGTGAGGCTTGTCTGTTTGTTCGTCTGTTTGTTTGTAATTCTGAGATAGCGAAGTGTTTGTCGTACCGTGTAGAAGTCGTACCAATCCCCAGGAGGCAGGTAGTAGGTGAGGTTTGTCTGTTTGTTTGTCTGTTTGTTTGTCTGTTTGTTTGTTTGTCTTACCGTGTAGAAGTCGTACCAGTCCCCTGGCGGCAGGTAGTAGGTGAGGTTTGTCTGCCCCTGGTGCAGGATGGGAGAGACGAGCAGGTCAGATCCCCACAAGAACTGGTGGTCAATGTCGTAGGTCTGGGCCGAGGCCGGGAACCTGGCCATGTGTAAAAACAAAGTAAGATTATTGGAGGTTGGGCGGGTGGAGGGAGGGGTGGGGGTCGTGTAGGTGCAATTCCCTACTATACAGAAATACATCTGAAAAGTACAGGGCGAAATGGCATTTGTCAAAATTTCAGTGTTTGAATTTATCTGTTTTGACTTAATATACAGATCTAGGGGATGTTGCGATTTCTACACGTTAAGCTGGGAAGGTTTATCTATAATTCAACAATGCATTTTTCGTTCCATTTCTGGAATCAATGTCATGTTTATCGGGAAAAAACTGCAATCACGTGCTGATGACAGATTTAAAACATTTGCATATGGAAAGAACAATTATAGAAGATATGAACACTGAATGAAAGAAAGAAACGAGCCAGCAACATCTTTTTTAATGACAGAAGTACTCACTCGTGGGTTAACGCTCTAACTACTGAACCACCTTGTGACTTGACGCTGTGGAAATGTGTGTACATGAAAGGGGGAGGGGGCTAGTAGCGGAAGAAACTTAATATGTGTGGGTGGTTGGTGGGTGCTCTGGTGAGGTTTGCTTCTTCTTTCCTATCAAACATCTATCGTCTTTATCTCCCCCTCCTTCTTTTTTGTGTTTGTTACTCTCTTGTAACACCTCTAATCTTCGGCGCTTATATATGACCTTATTGTGTTGCAAGTGTCGTAAAACACTTACTAAAACAAAAAACTTAATATCATGCAGTACTCACTCGTGGGCTAGCGCTCTAACTACTGAACCACCCTGAGAGTTGACCCGGTGGAAGTGTGTGTACATGAAAGGCAGGAGCCAGTAGCGAATTTCCAGGATCTCTCTGGTG